CTCCCGCCCCGCCCACCTGCCCGGCCCGCGCGCCCAGTCCGGCCGACGCGGTGGATGTAGTCCGCCGCGGTCTTCGGGAAATCGTAATTCACAACGGTGTTCACGCCCACAAAGTCCATGCCGCGGCCTATCAGGTCCGTGGCGATCAGCACCCAAGTCCGGCCGGCCCGGAAGTTCTCGACGGCGGCAGTCCGAGCGGCCTGGGACTGGTCCGCGGAGATGTGGTCTGCCCGGACTCCGTCGTACATGAGTTCGCGGTGCAGCAGCTTGGCGCGCTCCTTGGTCGACACGAAGACCTGCAAAGGGTGGCAGAGCACAGGGAGTCGCGACAGCAGAGTGCGTGGGCGGGCGCGGGGGTGCGGAGGCGGGTTGCAGGGATTGCGACAAAGCGCAGGGTGATGAGAGGGGGGTAGCCTCTTGCAACGACCACCCCCCCCCCTCCACATGAGACACGAGATACTGGGCTCTCTGTGGCTGCAGGCTGCCAGCTGCACGACCTGCACGCTCCTCCTTCCGCCGGGTCCCATAGCAGGGGCCCGGGCATGTGCCAGAAAACGAGGGCTGCCGGATCAAGCACACCCGCGTTGCCATAGTCACAAAGGCAGAGCACCCTAGGCACGCGCGCACGCCGCACCGCCTCCCAAGCCACTCCCCTCCCTGGAGCCCCCTGCCTGACGCCCTCCTCCCCAGCCCAGGCGAGATTCGCACCAGCACAGGCGGCGTGAGGCCGCCCGCCAGCATCTGGCGCAGCGTCATGAGTTTGCCGCCTTCCCGCCCCACAAACTGGAGCCGCTGCGCCACCATCGCCGCCGCTGTGTTGCGCTCGCCGACCGTCACGCGCAGGGGGTCACGCAGCACTGTGCGGGCCAGATCCTCCACCTTTTGAGGGGGGTGCGCGTGTGAGTGCGCGCACGCGCGCGCGTGCGCGCGTGTGTGTGTGCGCACGCGTGAATGTGGAGAAGGAGAGCTGATTATCTGTTTCCGAGTTTTTGTAACAAGTGCAATGGAAAGTGTATGTGTGAGAGTATGCGCGCACAAGTGCACACACGCATGCTTTTGTGTGTGTGTGTTTGTGTGTGTGTGTGTGTGTGTGTGTGTGTGTGTGTGTGTGTGTGTGTGTGTGTGTGTGTGTGCGCGCGCGCGCGTGCGCATGTGTGCGCGTGTGCACGCACATGCACGTGCATGTGAGGACTTTTCGAAGGGAGTGAGCGGGCCTACAGCGGTCAAGCCTTGTGGCGGTCGCACCGCCTCGCGCCGTGCCCCGCGCCGCCCTCACCTTTTCTGGCAGCGTGGCGCTGAAGAGCGCGCGCGTGATGTCGGGGCGGGTGGCGGCCGCCAGCAGGGCGTCCACCTGGCGGGTCGTGCAGGCGTGGATGGTGGTGCGGCACGTCGCCCCCGGTTGGCTCAGGGCACTCAGGAAATGATAAAATTCAGACAACTGGGGCGACGCCTGGGGCGGAGGAGCGCGGTTCGTGGGTGACGGTGCCCAGCGCTGTCATCACCCCTTCCGTGATTGTCCGCTGGCTTGGGGCCGCGTACAGTGTCTGAATGCGACGCCGCCCATACATCAGTGCACGGGCGCGTAGGTGCGTGCAACCACAGCGCACCCACTCACATGCATGCATGCAACACACACACACACACACACACACTCTCATACACACACAACGTTCCCACACACAAAACACACACCACACTGACATGTGCGTGCATGCACACGCACCTGCTCGGTGAAGCCCATTTCAAAGAGCTTGTCGGCCTCATCAATCACCAGGTGGCTCAGCTGACAGTGTTAGGTCGGGCAGCAGGAGACAAAGTCATTGCTTGGATAAATAAGCCGAGGGTTGACCCCCGTTTGCCCAGCTGGCGGTGCAAGCCAGGCGCGTGGGGTTTAAGGCAGGGCCATGCGCCCCACGGGGATCACATGGGCAGCTTTTCCGAAATTCACTCAAGCGGGGCTTGCTTGGACGAAGTCAAAGAGGTCTGTGAATCAGTTGGAGCTGGTGAGGCAGCGCATGCCGCTGGGCGTGTGCTCTGCTGCCTAATCCATGACGTCCCATGCGCTTGAGATGAAGGCGCAGGATAACCTCCCATTTCCCCTTCTATTTGGATCTCTAACTCTGGCCGCCTCACATGTGATAGGTCCATTTTCCCGTCCTCCACCAGGGTGCGCAGCCTCAGGGGGTTGGCCACCAGGATGTCCACCTGGGCGGTGACACGGAGTGACAAGCAGTGACGCGCGGTGAGGGTACTATACTGACACGCGGCGACGGGCAGCGGCAGGAGGTGGCAGGCGGGGTGTCATGCAGGAGTTGATGGATGTTGGGCGGGGGAAGCGCTGGGCGTATTGCAGGAGCAGAGCGGGCTCAGCGCAGGGCGCGGCCGTCGGCGGTCCGTGCGTCAGTGGTAGAAGGTCCAGCGGCGCAGCCGTGCGCGAGTGCTGCACGACGCAGCTCAACTTGTTAGACACGAATGCTGACGCATTCATAAATGCGTGAGCATATTCACACAAAAACAACACACACACACACACACACACACACACACACACACGCGCGCGTGTGCGCGCGCACGCACACACACACACACACACACACACACACACACACACACACACACGAACAAACAAACACGCACCTTTGCAAAATCGCTGCCAGCTGCTGTGGCCTTGCTGAGGAGGCATGCGCGCAGCTTGGTGCCCGGCAGCAGCTTGCGCAGCACTCGCGCCGTCTGCGCGTGCACGTGTGCGATGCGGCGGCGTTGGGGGCGGGGTCCGTCGCAAAGCGTGGTCAGACGCGGCACAAGCATCTCCGCTGCCTTCAAGGTTGCACAATCGGCAAGTTAGACCCGGTCTTTGTAGGCCTGCTACTCTACAACACCAGGCAACATAGCGCTGAACCCACCACCCCAACCAAGCCTGTCCTCCCATGGCTCGTTAGGAAAGGGGAAAACCTTCCAGGGCGCGAGACCACGTGCGCGTGCCCAGCCCTCACCTGCCCAGCCAGCTCGTGCGTCGGCGACAGGAACAGGGCCTTGGGCGCGTCGGGCCACGCGGCGCCGCCCTCGTTGCGCGCGCGCCGCAGCGCCGCCACCACGGGGAGCAGGAAGGCCAGGGTCTTGCCGCTGCCGGTGGGGGCGATGGCCAGCAGCTCGCGGCCTAGGGCGAGGTGGGTTGACGGCGTGTCATGTGTTGTGCGATGCTACCACGGGTTTCGTGCTGTGCTGCCCTTTCTCGTTAGTGGGCAGCGTTATTTCATGTTGAATTTGTCAAAACACGCAACAAAATACCATGACATGCAGCAGTTGCTTTGGCTGTTTGCCCGTCCCCCTCTTTTGAGTGTAAACATGGCCTCTTCCACAGTACATCAACACCTGGCTGCGGGCCACAGCCACAACGCGGCAGCGCCTCCTCTGCAGCAACTCCCGCCACCCGCCGTGAATACCCGTGGCCGACCTCGCGCCCAGCCTCCCCTCCCCCCCTGTTTTTTCAAACGCCGCCCGCTCACCTTCCAGGAGCGCGGGGACGGCCTGCCTCTGGATGGGCGTGGGGTCCGCCCAGCCGGCGCCGGCCAGCGCCGCCCGCAGCCGCGGCCCGACGTGATACCGCTCCCCGAGCTCCTCCCAGCCGCGCAGCGGGCAGGGCGCGCCCCCGCCAGACACCTGGTGGGTCAGGGGCCGGCGCCGTTGAGTCGGCGGCACGGGGGCCCGCGGGGTGCGTGTGTGCGTGCGCGGGGGCGAGTGTGGAGACAGGCATCAGCACAGCGCGGCGAATCGAGGCCGCAACCACCGCCTTGCCATGGGGCTGCCTCGATCGCGAGAGGGTCGCGGCGCAGGGCCCGAAAGGGGTACATGCACACAAGGGTGCAAGCCACCGCCGGCACCGCAGCACGCGCCGCCCCTGCACGCACCTTGATGCGCAGCGCCTTGCGGATCGAATTTGCTTCCTCATTAGGGTCGTGCGTGCGGACCTCTGGCAGCGCCTCTGCGCCGGCGCCGGCGCCCGCCATGCCCGCCGCCGCGACTGCGTCATCGCGCCGCCGCTGCCCGCCGGCGCCGCCCGCGGGCGACTGGCTGCCGCCAAACACGCTGATGCCTGGGTCGCTGCCTTGGTGGTCGTCGGCGCCGCTCTCGCTGGCGCCGGCGTGGGCGGTTGCGTGCTGCAGGCGGCGCTTCTTCCTGGGCGGCTGCCCGCCGGCTGCTGCTGCCGGCGCCTTGAGCAGGCCTGATTGTGAAAGGGACAAGTATTGGATGGGTCCAACTGCGCAGTGCATGTGTGGTTGCAATTGTGTGTCGCGAAATGCTCAAGCGCGGTGCTCTTGCTGCACGCGTGCGCACCTGGTGGCAGCGCGTGTGCAGCGGCGCGATGCTGCTGGCCTCGATATACGTTCTGGTCCTGCTTCATGCGGCCGCGGTCGAACTTGGCCCCGCTGGTGAGCAGCGCGAAGGGGTCCATGGTGAACTACTTGCTCGGAGAGCGCCTGATGAATTGTGTTTCCGTGCGGCTCGACGGAACGCAAGATCAGGTATCGTGTTGCCCTTTACACGTCAATCGCGCGATTATTATCAAAGATTTTGAATAGTATCGTTGTGTGGAAATGTGCGCCTTCACAGACCAGGTGACCTAGCCGTCACCCAGACGGCGTCAGCTATGCTCATATGCGGGGGACAGGCGCCGCTGAAATGGTGTGGGCTGGCATGATCAAATGCTGACGTGTTCAAGTGTCAATATGGTGGTGCGGGCACGGTCAGGGGTACTCCACTCTCTTTGTGCACTCAGTTGCTTCGTGCTCGCTACCGCGCAACACCGGTGGGACGGTGACCGCCGGCTACGACTCAAAGGTAGCTGAGGTATTTGAGTACAAGCCAATCAGGTCAGGTACTGTGAGTGCAATCTCATCAGCATTATCATTGAAGAGGTGGCGTTCGCCCACCGTGAACCCATCGCCCATGAGCCCGAGGGGTGCCATCGCTGCTGCCCGCATGAAGCAAGATTGGCTTTGGCAACACACCGGTACTGTATAGATGAACTCCATCGTAGCATGCATGCAATGACGATAAGTGGATCACCGTGAGGCGCCTGGAGTGGTTACCCCCGTAGGCACCGCACATGGCAGATGTGGCAAGCAGCACTACGCTCACAGCAACGGGGTTGTGCGTGCCCGTACCCATTCTACCGGAACCCCTCAATATACAGCATCACCTGCGCGGTAGGTGGCAGGTCGGCCAGTGCAGCACGACGTAGTTTGAGTAGAGCAATCCATCAGGATAGGGGCATATCCCAAAAGTACAGGGAGCCATGCTGCAATTGCAGGCCCGCCGTAGCGGTGCTAAAAATTGATGCCCAGAGCCGGGATTGAACCAGCGACCTTTCGATCTTCAGTCGAGCGCTCTGCCAACTGAGCTATCTAGGCCCGATGGTGCCGGGGACAGGTTTTGTGACATACATATATACGTGTATGGTTCAAGGTTTAGCATCTGGCGTCCGCTTATATGTCTGGAGCTTTATCTTGGCTTGTTTGGTGTTACGTGTATTGCCGCCTGCTTTGGGCGGCTAGTTTGTGCTTAACCCCTGTTTTTGGTTCCACACCGGTTGGTCACAGTGGCGGGAGGAGTCTAGCTAGCCTAGACGATTGTAACGAATCAAATCAAGTCCGCCCCAGGCCCCAGGGCCCAGGGCCAGGCATGTCTCCTGAGTGTGTGCAGTGCGCCCTCATTGCTCTGTTTGTATATCTGCAGCTCTATCTTGGCTTGTATGTTGTTACGTGTGTTGCCGCCTGCCTTGGGCGGCTAGCTTCGTTGTGCTTAAAGCCCTGTTGTTGTTTCACACCGGTTGGTCACAGTGGCGGGAGGAGTCTAGCTGGCCTAGACGATTGTAACAGAGCAAAGCAAAGCAAAGTCCGCCCGATTGCATGCTCTGTTTGTATATCTGCAGCTTTATCTTGGCTTGTTTGGTGTTACGTGTGTTGCCGCCTGCCTTGGGCGGCTGGTTTGTGCTTAACCCCTGTTGTAGACGACTGTAACAAAGCAAAGCAAAACCAGTTGTTTCACACCGGTTGGTCACAGTGGCGGGAGGAGTCTAGCTAGCCTAGACGGTTGTAACGAAGCAAAGCAAAGCAAAGCAGAGCAAAAGCGTGGACTGGCACACTTGGCCCTCGGGTTGCACCCAGCGAGAGGGGAGTAGACCTTCCATTCGTTCGCTTGCACACCGCTCGCTCCATTCGCTTGCACACCACTTGTTCCGGTCCCCTTGTGGAGCCCATGTCTCAGCCGGCCGGCCGGCGGCGCAGCAAGGAGGCAACACGCGCGAGACTTGGGATCCCAGTTCGGCAGGAGGGGCGTTACCGGCGTCTGTGTGGGTGTGGGTGCTTGCGGCCATCCCCGCCGATGAGTCTTGCAGCTGCAGACGTGGTGATAAGTCATCATTATCATCACCACCGACAGTGGTGGGTGGGCATGCAGGGGGAGCAGGAGGAGCGGCGGCGGCAGTGTAGCAGCAGCACCAGCAGCGGCAGCGGCGGCGGCAGAAGCAGGAGCAGGGCCAGCAACGACAGCAGCGGCAGCAGCAGCAGCAGCAGCAGCAGCAGCAGCAGCAGCAGCAGCAGCAGCAGCAGCAGCAGCAGCAGCAGCAGCGGCAGCAGCAGCGGCAGCAGCGGCAGCCCCAACGCAGGCGGCAGCCCAGCGGGCAGCATGTCTTGGGCAGAGGCGCGGCGCCTACGGCCCAGCAGGGCCTCAGCGCCGCTGGCCAGGTGCAGCTCGCGCGCAACTCTCTCCTCACAACCGGAGATCTACTCGTTTAAGCAGGTGCATCGCATGCCTGCACAGTCAAACCCATCACTTCCAGCCGCCACCCTGCGCATAGCCCGTAATCCGACACGTCACCCCGTGCTGGATTCCGCGACAACTGACTGGAGAACAGCCGCTCACGGCTGCAGGCATGACGCTGCCCAGTGACATTCTGGACAGATTGAGCCGCAGGGGGATGCTTCCACCGCCGCTGCACGGCCGGACGCTGCGGCAGTCGCAACGAGCTGCTCCACTGGACTTCCACAGTGTGGTGTTCACTGCACAAATTGTCTCATCTTCGTGCGGCTAGACCAATCAACAAAGGTCAAATAAATCTATCAAATTTGTGTGTGTGAGTCGCCAAACGCGCGAGATCCACACTGGACAGCGGGCTTACTCCGGGGCGCGGGTAGACGGCGCCCAAACAGCCTGTAAACTGCGGCGGTGGGCATTCAGATCAAAATCAGCATATTCGCAAACTTGCAGGCTGGTCCTGGCCGCGCGGAGTGAGTGACCAGGTGAGTGGCCGGCCAGATACGGTAGATGGCGCTGTAATGATGCAACGTCGGTGCATTCGGCAGCTGTCCGACAGTTCGACATGTCCTTATACATACAATACACATGCGCCGCCACCCCACGGGCCACGCACGCATGGCGCAGCCCCGCAGACCGACGCGCCTCTGCGGTGCTGGAGAACCCCTTGATGCCCCTGCATGGCCATGCAGCCCCTGGCGCCCGACCCCATGCCCGCCATATACCTGACCCTGCATGTGGTCTGGCCGCATTGACGCATGCACAGCAGACGGGCCAACTGTATGGCCGGGCGGGCGCATGCAGATGCAGCCGGTTGGTTGCTGCCAGCGGCGGCGAGGCCGACGGCGGCGCTGCTGCTGATGCTGCTCCTGGCTGCAATAGTCTCCAGAGCAAGCGCTGCTATCGTCAGTCTGGAGGTTCAGAACACCTTGGGTGCGGGCCTGCAGCAGCTGAACGTGGCTGGACCTGTGTGAATGTATGACAGGCGGGCTGGTAGCACTTTGGCCAGCTGAAATGCTCGGCACCTGGCAGGATACTTGGCTCAGTTTGGTCGCAGGCAATGCCAAAATGGCCAGCGGGTGTGGCAGGTAGTGCATTGTAGCCGGCCGGCAGGATCTTGCGGCCGAGTGGCGCTGGCAGGTGGGCCGGCCGCAACAGCTTTCAGAGGCCCGCTGCATGTTATCACAACAACCCCTGTATTCTCGCCCGCCGCGGCCGCCACCCCGCACGACAGATGCCGGCGCCGGCAGCCTTCGCAGCACCCTGGCGCTGGTGCAGCCGGGAGACTCCACGACGATCACGTTTTCCTCGAGCGTCGCCGCGGGCTCGACGATCGACCTCGCAGCGTCGGGCTCCCTCGTGCTCCCCGCGCTGACCGGCGCCGGCTCCCTGACCGTCCGCGCGCCCGCGGGCGCGCCGCTCGTTGTTAAACAGTCGCTGGCCTTGGGCGGGAACGCGGAGACCGTCCTCGGAGACAAGCTCACGGTCGCCGCGGCCAACCCGTCCGTTTTGGTGGAGTTCATCAACTTCCACTTTCAAGAGATGACGTTTGCAGTGGTTGACGGCGAGCTCTGCTTTACCGACTGCATCTTCAGCTCTCAGGGCGCCAGTGCAGGAGTTGAGTCTAAGGGCGCTCTGATCATCTCGGGCGACCGCCCCAAGCTGACCCTGACGCGCGTGACCATCCAGGGCTTCCGTAAGTGGACCCCGGGCAACGTCGCCTTCAGCACCGGCGCTGGCGCCGCGATCATTGCGGACCCCACGTATTCGGCGGCGTTCGCGCTCCGCCCGACCGGGATCGTGGCTGTGGTGCGTGCGGGCAGTAGTGTGCTTGCTGGTGGGGGCCCGCGCCGCCGTTAAAGTCGCAGTCTGCGAGTTTCCGCTAAGCCCTTCGTCGTGCCAGGCCAGGGACTGAATGTGCGGTGGCAGCATGTGGTTGCTTACCTACCCACAGTGTAGACCTTGCAAACGCTGTGCTGGTGCCCTTGCGGGTGGCAAGCTTTTCTTGTGCATCCCCCCGCTAACTGCCCCCACACCCTCCACCTCTCTCATCTCATGCCCCTCTGCACCCTCCCTTTCCGCCCTGCCTAGCAACCCCGTGCACCCCTCCCAGCCCGGCCCCTCCTGCCATCTCCCTTTCTTGGCCTTCCCCTGTATGCCGCCCTACCCACTCCTCCCCAGCCCAACCTGTGCGCGACCGCAGGGTGACCTGCAGGCAACCGCAGCAGGGCGCGCAA